AGTCGCGAGCACCGCCCAGTCCCCGCGGTCCGACAGCAGGCGGGCATGGCGGAGCAGGGGGGCGCTGCTGGAGAGCCTAGTGTTGGCGTTCTGGCAGAAGTAGAGGCTCCACGCAAATCCCATGGGCAGGGGGCGCGCGGCCGGCCACACCTGGGCGTTGCCAAAGGCCCGGTCGCCCTCGATGAGCAGCAGACCGGTTCGTAGCAGAAGAAGGCACTCATCCACGGAGGCATGATCATGCGATGGAAGCAGTTCTCCACGTCGGCTACGCCCAGGGCAACTCGGAGCGCCCGAAGGGCGCCTCGGCCCAGATCAGTGGCCAACTCGGGGTCCTCCTCGACATAGACCTCGATGGACGAGAGTCCCTCCGCAGTCAGCAAGTCCACATGAAGGGGCTGAGCAAATCGCTGGTTGGCGGCCCGCGCGTCCAGGATCAATCTCAGCTTGGTTTTGCCCTCCTTCCAAGCGAAGAAGGACCCGATGAAGTCGATCGGCTGCGTGGTGTACCGGAGCATGCCGATGTCGTGAAGGCGGCGGATGAAGCGGAGGTATTGCCGGCACGATCGCGCCAGCCGGGGATCTGAGCACGGCTTGGCGGGCTCACGCCGTCGTACGTCTTCAAAGTCATTGGTGTCTCGTAGCATACGCTCTCCACAACCCTCCAAGAAAAGGCGCCCCTGCTGGTCGACCAGGTCGTAAACGGACGGAGCCGTGGAGACGTCGGCTGGCAAGGAGACGAGGCGCAACTGGAAGGGGGCAATGTTCGATTGGCCCTCCTCGTAAAGGGAGATGCCACGGATCATCTGCAAAAATGACGATCGCGGCGAGGGTGCGTCAGCGACCGGCTCCTGGGATCTGACCAGGCCTTCGATGCGCGCCACTACCTCGTTGTGCATGCCGGCGAAGTCACACCGATGCCAAAAAGTGCTGCTCTCAAGGCCCTCTAGCCAGTTGAGCGCCCTGATCGCCCGATTGACGACGGCGAGGACGCGCTGATGGCCACGAGGTCCTCGTCGCTCACGATGACGTCGGCGACTGGGCCCCTCCGCCACCAGGGGGATCGGGAAGAGCAGGCGCGAGCCCCGCCCCAGCGGAAGGGCAGCCGACATGGGCCGATACGTCTCGGCGGGGGGGGGCCCACTCCCCCCGCCGCGCCCAAAGGTCGTCATTGGGCCCCGGGGGGGGCGCCACAGCCCCGGCCGCGGGCGCCAGCGCCTCCGCCGCGGTCTCGGCCGCCCCGCCCCGGAACTCCACCTCCTGCACCCCTCTCGGGGGTCTCCTCCTCGCCAGAGCCGGCGTGGAGCGTCGGCGCCCGCTGGGCCCCCGCCGCAGCGTCGGCGTTCCCCTTCGCCTTCCTCGCCGCGCACTGCCTCATCTCCGGCTTGACCGCGTCCACCGTCGAGCTCGTGTCCGCGAGCTCACGTGCAAGCTGCCAGTTCGGGGCCTTATCGACGACCTGGTACGTAACCTCGATGATCTGCACCCGACACACGGCCACCTTCACACTGGCGAGCGCCGGGAGGTCGGCCTGGTCGCAGGTCACCCCTGGGAAGAGGATGCCGACCAGGCGCCGCATCTCCCGCACCACACGGCCCGAGTCCTCAATACGGCGCTCTCGTGCCGAGGTTGTGGGCCAGAGGCGAGAATCCACCCCGTGGTGCTCCATGTGCCGCCCGAGGCTAGGCATCGTGGAGGGCCCCTGCTGCGGGAGGTTCGGGTCCGCGACGCCGCGGGCCCCACGGCGGCACTTGCGGAAATCCTTGTACCCGGCCCGCCGCCCACCGTAGTCCAACCAGGATGTGCGGGCGTCCCCGCTGTCACCGGCGTCCGTCGCCGCCAGCAGTCCCGCTCGGGCCAGCCCGCACCAGTCGGCAATGAACCTCTCGTCGAAACCAACCCGAATGCAGGTGCCACTCCGACGCCCGTCCCCACGAGCGACCAGGGCGTCGTACCTGTCGACATGCACGTACACGACCTCCAACTTGACCAGGGCGCCCGCGGGTCCGATCGCGGAGGACTCGCCCAGCACCCAGACGTAGCTCGTGACGATCAGTCCCAGCCCGCGCGCAGAGGAGACCGTCCCGCTCGCAGCCCCTGCGGCTCCCGCGTCGGCCGCGGCGGGCAGGCAAGCCCGACGCCGCGGAGGGTGGCTGCCGCCCAGGAGCTCGTCCAGCATCGTCACCTCATCGAACGTCACCATCACCTGCTCAGCCCGCTGGAGCTCCGAGCCCGCGGAGCCGATCTCCTCCTCTGCCTGCGCGTGTCCCCGACGGGTCACCGCCCTGATCTCGTCCCCCGGCGGCGGCCCCGGGCGGCGGCACGCCTGGGGGTCGGGACTGGGCGTTAGCCCGTCCACCAGCAGCGGGGCGTCACGCTCGAGGCCGTCTGAGTCGGACCCGTCCAGGTACTCACGGCAGACGTCCTTGTCTGGCTTCTGCAGCACCCACGGGACACCCTGGATTGGCCACGGCGCCAGCCCCCCATGCCACGTCTTGCACTCGACGTACCCCTTCAGCAATCGGGGCCCTGGCGTCAGCGTCATCCAGAACTCCGAGTCCACCACGACGCGCGGCGCGACCGCCACAGCGCTAGCATCACGAGCAGCACGCGAGGGCCCAGCGGCCGCGCCCCCAGGCAAGCCGCCCCCTGAGCTGCCCCGCCGGGTCGGCGGTGAAGGCCCGGGGCGCGGGGCCCACTGCGGGCTCGCCCCCTCGGCGGCCCCCGGCACCGCGGCTCTCAGCTCCCTCGGCGCCGGGCACCTGCACTCGCCAGCTGGGCAGATCACGGTCGGAGGCCCAGTCGGCCGAGAGAGCCAGCAGAGCAGTGCTCCATGGCCCAGGAGCAGGAACAGCTTCTGGAACGGCCCTCCGGCCATACACTGCCAAGGACGGAGGTCGCAGGCTCAACCTTTGAGCCAAAAAGACTTCGGAGCATGTATAGCCGCGATCCCACATTGTGGGATTGATGTTCTTTCAGGCAAGCTGGCGGACGACAAGCGCTCTCTTACCCCATTCATGTGCACGCACTCCCATCATCATAAGCATCATCATCCTCATCATCATCACCACCACCATAATCATCATCGTCAGCATCATCATCATCATCATCAGCATCTATGTTTTGAACTCTCCCCATCAACCCCCCTCCTCCCTCCTCCATCCTCCCGCCTCCTCCGTCCTCCGTGCGCATCCTCCTCCTTCTCCTCCTCCTTTGCTGCCAGCGGCCCTTCGCCCTGGGGCAGTCAAACGAATCACACAGGGCAGCTCTGATTGTCCTTCCGTCCTGGGCACGGCAGCCGCTTCTGCTGCTCAGCATCAGGCTCAACGTCTCCAAAATACAATCAAACTGTCACTGCGCAATGACGCGATGTTTTCCACTTGTTCAAGCGCCGTGATAATCCAGCCGGCTCGATGGCTCCAATACAGGATATATTCGATGCCCCAGCAGCATCAGAGGCAAACGTGACTGCGGAAACTAAGCATCATTGTGGGCAGCAGTTCTGATCAGCAACGAACACACCAGTGCTCTGCGTGCGTCTCCGCCCAAAGCTGAATAACATGCGGCACACCCGGCGCTGACGGGACAGGAAGACAGGCATGCTCAGTGCTCGCTGGCCCTTGACGTGGGGAAAGAAGGGGCTTTCTGGGCCATGGCGAGCCTCGGCCACGAAAGAGGCCAAGCAACACTTGCCCGAAAGCACCCGTTGGCACCGCACACTCGTTCGTCGCCGTCGTCGTCGTCGTCGCCGTTGCCGTCGTCGCCGTCGTAGTCGTCGTCGCCCTCGTCGTCGCCGCCACTCGCCCGTGGCGAAAAGTCTGGGAAGTGGATTCTACTGTTGTGTGGACGCTGTGTGCGGAGCAGTGCTCGCTCTGAACTCTCGTTTCGCTGTGGATCTGGGTCTTGAAGTGCCTGCCGCCCCCAGCGGCTGCCGCCTATATAGTCGTACTCCAGCGGATGCCGGATGTCGTGGCGCAGGCAGTCCGCTGGCAGCCCCAGGGACGTCCGCGGCCCAGGCAGGGCCCAGGGCGGCGAGGGAGCGGAATGCCCTCCCTCTTTGACCCGAAGCAGAACCGAAAACACCCCAACGACATCCACATGTACTTGTTTCGATCCTGTCCCCGTTAGCCCGCGCGGGTGCTGTTCGCATCACGAAAATAGATAGCGAAGCAGATCTGAAGCCCAATCGAAAGGGGTGTAGGCCGACGCTGCACGATGCAGCGCTGTAGCGCCCAGGCCGAGGCATCAAAGCAAAATAGAATAAGCACAAGTGGGTCCGACATGCACCAGCCGCGGCAAACGTCGGGTTTCGGAACCTCCCGAAATGAAAACAAAGCAGACTTTGAAAATCCTGAACCGGCGGCGCGACAAGCTTAACAGCTCCTGACCGCAAAGACCTGTTCGCGAATACGGCCTGACCTAGGACAGAATAACATCCTTCAAGAACATGAGACCCTCCGCCAGCCAAACTGAAGAACCTTCAAGGGTACCATCCCCCAGGTTTGCACACATACATCCAACAAGCATGAAGAACATTAAGAAACCCTCCCCGAACCGACATCTATCGTATACCTCGGCCAGACCATATCAGCAAGTCGAAACCCGGAGGAGGACATGCCCACCCTGCCATTCCTGCCCTCGCGCAGCTCACGGATACTGTGTCTGCCCGAGGCTTTCCTGCCGTCGTTGCGCATACAGTCAACAGGTACAGGAAGGACGCACGATAAGGATGCAAGGGCCTTGGAAGGCCATGTCGACACTATGCGAGCGGGGCGCGGCCAGTGGAAGCGGCCAGGGATGGCCCGAGGGAGAAAGATGCAAGGGCAACCTTGGAAAACTGCTCATCCTTGCTGTGCGGGTTGATTGCAACGGGGAATGGTCCAGGCAGGCTCTGGACCTCTGGCCTCCGCCGAAGTTCACATGCCCGCACGTTTTCCCGAGATCTGCCGATTTGCGCACACCGCACACCTCGGCCACGCCCACTGCCCTCCCGGGGGGGGGTCCTTGGATCCGTAGCCGCTGAGCGCCAGCCAGCCCATGCCGCCGATGACGATGTCGTCCCACGCGCGGTCGCCTCGACAGGTGCTCGTCTCTCACTGGTGTGAAAACGTGCGCGCGGCTGTACCAGTACGGTGAGGGCATTGGATAAGGAATCGTTGGACAAGGAAGCCAGGGTCTGGAAGCTGAGGGAATCCCAATCGTGAACTGGCCATGGATATCACCGCCGCCCTCATCAGATAAGGATCTCTCCAGGGTCTGAAGCCTCCTGGGCACGCTCCTCAACGAACGCCCCCACCGTATGCCTGTGACACGCCCGACAAGCAGAGTTCGACTCGCGCCATGAGCGGTGATCCGTGCGATGATCGGCACACAAGGCGTCTTCACACGCGGACGTGCACACGTACGATAACGCGGACGTGCACACGCACGATAACGCTGGCACCGCTGACTCTGGCAGTGCTCCCTCTCCTGTGCTGGCGCCTTCGCCTGTAAGAGGCCGCCTTGCAGGATCCTGCAGTATCCTGCAAGATCCTTCAGGATCCTGCAGGATCCTGCACCCAAGCCCTGGTCAATGCGGCCCTGGCCCTACAGGATCCTGCAATATCCGGCGTTCTGGCTGACCCCCGCTTGCATCGACCCCCGTCTCTTGAGCCCCGACTCTTTGATTTGCGGTGGCTTCCGCTAGGTTTCTGCTGGCGGAGGCACTCTCGTTTTACGTCCGTCCACCCGTCGGGCATTTCAGCAGCTTCCACCGAGGGGGAGGAGGTCAGCACTGCGCTCCCAGAGGGAGGCTATTTCTTGAATGGCGCACCCCGCGACACGACCTCCGAAGTCTTGGACCCCTGAGAACCAAACCAAAAACTATGACAGCAACAACAACACCACCAGCAGCAGCAACAACAACAACAGCAACAACAGCAATAACAGCAGCAGCAACAGCAACAGCAACAACAATGACAACACCAGCAGCAACAACAACCAACACACAACCACAACAACAACAACGACGGCAACAACAACAACACCAACAACAACAACGGCAACAACGACAACAACAACACCGCCACCACCACCAACAACAACACCAAACCCACCACCACCACCACCATCACCAACAACAACAACAAAACTAACACCAACACCAACAACAACAACAACACCAACACCAACACCAACAACAACAACAACAACAACAACAACAACAAGGACCACCCCGGGACTGCGACCCCGTCCAGCCCGCTTTCTGTCCTCGCGCACCCCAGACCTACCACCCCGTCGGGGACCAACCCTCCCCACACACCAACCAACCAACCAACCAACCCTCCACAGCAGAAAAACAACAAATGAGGCTTCGTGGAATGCCTCTTTTGAGACCTTGAAAGGGGTCCCGTAGGAGGTCTCGTTGGAAGCCTCGTGCGAGGCCCAGTGGGAGGCCAACAGGAGACCTGAAAGGAGGCCTCGCACGAGGCCACGAGGGTGTCATGTAGGAGGTTGGGGAGGAGGCCTGGGAGGAGGCCTAGTAGGAGGCCTAGTAGGGGGCCTTGTAGGAAGCCTGGGAGGCCGTGTAGATGCCCCCAAGATCACCCCAATGTGGTCCCAGGATGTCCCCAAGATGACCCCAAGATGCCCCCAAGATGACCCCAAGATGACCCCAATGTGGTCCCAGAATGTCCCCAAGATGGCCCCCGCATGCCCCCAAGCCGATCCGAAGATGCTCCCACGATGACAGCGATATGACCTCATGGTGACCATACGGTGACCCCAAGATGACCCTGAGACATCCCCCACAATGACCTCAAGATCGTTCACACTCTTTGAGAAACAGGGAGCACGTTACTGGGGGCACTGATTCTGGGACTGGCCCGCATGGCCGTTTACATCCACCTGGCCGGTTTAACCCACCTGGCCGTTTAAACCCAACTGGCCGTTTTATACTGCCTGGCCGCGCTGACCCACCTTGTCGTTTTAACCTACCTGGCCGATCTATACCGCCTGGCCGTTTTTACCCACCTAACCGTTATGACCCACCTGGCAGTTTCAGCCCACCTGGCCGTTTTGAGCCACCTGGCCGTTTCAACCAAACTGGCCGCTTTATACTGCCTGGCCGCATTCTACCGCCTGGCCGTTTTAACCTAACTGTCAGTTTTACCCAAACTGGCAGTTTTACCCTACCTGGCCGTTTTAACCCACCTGGGCGTACTAATCCACCTGGCCGCTTTAACCCACCTAGTTGCTTTGACGCACCTGGCAGTTTTACCCTACCTGGCCGATTCAACCGAACTTGCAATTTTAACCCAACTGGCCGTTTTAACCCAACTGGTAAGTTTATATCGCTCTGCCACGTTAACCCACCTGGCCGGATTAACCCACCTGGCCGCTTTATACCGCCTGCCAGTTGTAACCCAACTGGCAATTTTAAACCATCTGGCCGTTTTAGACCACCTGGCCGTTTGAACCCACCTGGCCGTTTCAACAAAACTGGCCGCTTCATACTGCTCGGCCGCATTATACCGCCTAGCTGTTTTAGCCCACCTGGCCGTTTTCACCCACCTGGCCGTTTTAACCCACCTGGCCTCTTTAACCCACCTTGCCGCGCTATCCCTCCCGGCCGTTTGAACCCACCTGGCCGCTTTAACCCAACTGGCTCCTTTATACCACCTGGCCGTATCATACCTACCTAGCCGCTTTATACCACTTGGCCGTTTTAACCCACCTGGCCGTTACATACCACCTGGCCGCGTTAAACCCACCTGGTCGTTCCAACCCACCTGGCCGTGTTAACCCACCTGGCCGCTGTATATCGCCTGGCCGCTTGATACCGCCTAGCCGCTTTAACCTGCCTGGCCGTTTTAACCCACCCGGACAGGACCAAGTGCGCGAGCTGTGGCAACTGGAATCTGGCTTCCGCAGAGAACATGATAGGCGAGGCAAAGCAAAAGTGGTGATGATCAGAAGCAATAGGCAATAGGAGAAAAAGGAGTAGGTCTGCGGCGTCGGTGTAATCGCACATGAGACGAGAAACTCGGCTGCCAGGGAATCTCAAACGAAATCCCCATTTCTGAAAGCACGAGATGAAACGGAACATATAGTGTGATGACTTTTAAAGCGAAATCCAACTTCCTGGCAGCCTGAGAAGCGACCAGAATTTGTTTGAGGAAGGACCAAGCGAAATCGTCACTTTAGGTGGCATGGCAGAATTTCTGGTCGCCCTGGAAGGCGATCAAGAACGTTGTCTGAGGAAGTCGTGGGCGGAATCCCACTTTCTGGTCGAAGCCCCACTCGGCCCTCCTGATATTAAAGGGGCGGATGGAGGCACCAGAAACTCCCAAATGGGCATCAAATCCAACGTTGCCCCGGGGCCCCGCTGCCTAACGGGAGGCCCCCCCCCCCCCCCGCGTTCTCTCTTTTTACCCCAGGAAGTGGTGTAGGCCCTCGATAGCGAGACCGCGCGCTCCTGGGCGGAATGTGGGCCACTTGGCCCCCGTCGACGATATGTTGGGCGATCGAGGGTCGATGCGCTGGCTTTCGGCTCATATCTCAGCTCTCCAGCGGTCGCTCGGGACGATCTGGGCCCCCCTGGACGCCTCTCGGCGAGGAGTACCCAGAGCATCCCGAGGCTGGAAGACGCCCGAGATCCAACGAAAACGCCCGACACCTCTTCCACCTCGAGCCTGGACATGTGCCCCCCCTAGCGCTACCCGCAGCTCCGCCACCGCACGCCCAGGAACCGCAGACAGGCCAGCACTTCAGACCCAGATCCCCCCCGCCAGCAGCTGCCGAGGGCGCCACTGCTGCCGAAGACCTTCACCCGGTGCCGCACCAGTGGCCCGATGCGGTCGACGTCCTCGCGGGAGTGCGGCGGGTAGAAGAAGTCGCCCGCCTGGTCTCGGAGGGGGGCCGGACCCGAGCGGCGGGCGCGCGCCTTGGGGAGGCCTGCTTCCCCCCCGTCCATGGTACCCCGCCGATGTGATGCTTCCAATCCGCGGCCGCAGGAAGGATCCGACCGCGCCCCCGAGGACCCGGGTCCATGCTTGATGGTCCCGGGGCCCGAAAGCAGGCCCCGGACGCCGAGGTCGAGGAGAGAGCACCCAGGTGTAAAACATCGGATCGTCGGAGATCGCCTTCTGAGATCGCCGGAGATGTCAAACCGGAGGTCGCAAAACCCGAGATGTAAGACCCGAGAGAAGAATTCGAACGCCCGAAATGGGTACGGAAAACATGGGTACAATGCCCAACAGCAAATGTTGCCCAAAACCGACAGCGGCCGCTGTTGGGCAGGCGGCTTTTTGTCTTCAACGAACAACGTCCGCGGCGGCGCGGACAGAGAGTCCTGTTCAAAACGAACAGGAACTGCTGTCGGGCATCGTACCTAGACGAGCGCATTCCACTACCCGCAAAGCAACTACTCGCAGGTGGCCTGGATCCGCCGCGGGGGATCTACGACAAATTACATCGGAGCAGACATGTGCTTATCGGACGTTTGCGAGTAGGCACTTTGCGAGTAGTGGAACGCGCTCGGTTCGGGCGTTGGCAGAACTGGGTCTAGTGGGAGCTGGTTTAGTGATGTGTGATGTGTACTGGGGGACGCCCTACGGCAGACCTGGTTCAGTGATCCTGGCCAATCTAGGGGCTCCAGGGCCCTACCCGATCGGTGAGTACTCATTCTTTCCGTACTCCTGTCGATCGCCCCGAAAGACAGCGCCCAACTGTAAAGCCCGAGGTCGCCGGAGATCCGGGCGCCTCCTCGCTGCTCAGTGCTGCGGGCTGCGCTGGCACGAGTCCTGCCGGCCTTGGCGAGCCCACGCCGCCTCTCCCGCCTCCGTCGCCTGGCCGCTGCTCGGTCGGGCGGCGGCGGGATTGGAGGGCCCTGCGGCATCTCACGGGAGCCTCCCATGCCTCCTCCTCCCTCCTCCTCCTCCTTCCTTCCTTCCTTCCTTCCTTCCTACCTCCGTCCCTCCCTCCCTCCCTCCCTCCCTCCCTTCCTCCCTCCTCCTCCTCCTCCTGCTCCTCCTCCTCCTCCTCCAGCCAGTTGGCTCTGGAGGGTCGACACTAAGCAAAGCTAGTCGACGCTAATTCGACGCTAATCGAGGCTGGGCAACGCCAATCGGCGTTGAATCGGCGCGATCTCAGGGAGCGACTGCCAGACGCCAATCGACGCCCGTGCAGTCTCACGGCGTAAATGCGGCGCTGTGCCAGGTTCCCATGGGTCGCCACCGAAGGAGGGGGTGTACGCGAGGCCGGCTGCTTCTGCGTCGGAGGGGCGCACGGAGACAAGGGCAAACGCGGAGCGGGGACGAGACCGTCATCCTCCGCCCCCCCCCTCCCACAGTAGGGAACTGACCACGAGAAACCTTCCACAAAAAACCCAACCCTGAGACCCCAGGGCGTCCGTTGATTCTTGGTGTGGGACCGTCACGCTCTCCATCGCAAAACCATCGAAACCCACAAGAAACCAAGGGCAGCCTGGAGGCAAGCAGGGTGTTTCTTGGCATGGGTTTCCACTGTACTCCCCGTCCTCCTCTCTCGCTGATACCTCCGCATCTGCATTCCCATCCTGATCTCTCGGAAGGGCCGGGTTAGCCAGGCTGGTGCCCCGACGACTATAGGAGGCCTGCTGGTCGTCGTCGGTCTCCTCCTCCTCCTCCTCCTCCTCCTCCTCCTTCAATCTTCTCTCAGGCCTGTTAGGAGCATCGACCGCTCTCCCCTTCTTCCCCTGCTCCGACGGTGCCAGTTCTCGCCCCTTCGCGACCGGACCTGGCTCCGCCGCCCTTGGGCTTCCGCCGAGCCCGCGAGCAGAGCCCTGCCAGGAGCACCAGCAGAGACCGGCGGGCGAGGACCGGCGGCGCCCAGGGCGGGGGCGGCGGCGGTGCTCGGCGGATCGCGCCGGCCCGAGCGGAGCCGCGCAGGGCGCTCCCCGGGTCGTGCTGGACCCCGGCGAGGATTCCCCCCTCCTCCTCCTCCTCCTCCTCCTCCTCCTCCTGCTCCTCCTCCTCCTCCTCCTCCTTCCTCCTGCTCCTCCTGCTCCTCCTCCTCCTCCTCTCCTTCTCCTCCTCCTCCTGCTCCTGCTCCTCCTCCTCCTCCTCCTCCTCCTCCTCCTCCTGCTCCTCCTCCTCCTCCTCCTCGTCCTTCTCCTTCTCCTCCTCCTCCTCCTCCTCCTCCTCCTCCTGCTCTTCAGTTGTCCCGACAGCACTGTGGGAAACGTGAGCGTTTTCGTATTCGGCGTTTCGACATCGAGCGAAGGGGGGGGGGAGGGGGGGGGTCCTGGCTCTGGACCTCTGCTTGGTGCGACTGTCTGCGACGGTGCGCCCTGTGAGGGGAGGCTCCACCTGCTCGAAAAAGGCGCCACAGGCACCCAAGATCTACTCCATGAGGTTTTGGGTGAGGGAGGGTGCGGGGGCCCGCGCCGACCGGCAAAACAATTAATAAAAAACGATCACAACCATAACGGAAACCATGTTTTAGTTCTTCGCGATAGCAGCCGTTACCGGCGCTGGCCACCCCCCTCCCCCCATGTGACGTCACGATTCGTGATGTCCTCCGAACTGTCTGGGGCTATTCCTAGACATTCCCAGAAGGTGTCGGTGCGAAACGTGACGATGCGGGCCCCCTGCCCGCCCGACGCCTGGTAACGCCCGTGATGGCCCAGGAATGAAAAAATGCTCTCATTGAGTCGCAGCCGAGCGAGCGTTTCGAAAATAAACCCTCGGCCACACGCTCCCTGCGTTTCACCTGGGCTGCTGGTGGCCATCCTGACACTGAGATGATCCTGTAGAGCCAAGCTCCGTACTGCATGGAGAAGTAGGTGAACTTCTCCCGGCAGGGAGAATCTGGGCTTGCTAAAGGTACCCCTTGCTCAAGGTGTCCCCAGCGTTTCGCTAATTCTGGAGCCCTTGGGGTCCTCTAGGCCTCGTGCGAGTGCTCTGGAGCCCGTGGGGGCCTCCTGGAAAATCCTGGGGCACCTTGGGCCAGGGGCACTTCTAGCAACACCCGAAAAGATCACCGGGGCGCAACTGGTCACCTGCATCCAGTTTGGGAGCCCTGCGTTTCCAGTGGCAAGGGGCGGCGGTCACTCGCCTGCCCTGTACGTCTTCGAGAGTTCAGATGCGGCGCGGTATGCGACAATGAGCTGCGACATGTGCTTTGGCACGATATTCAGGAAGGCGGGACCCTGTCCCCCCGCCTCCATCTCATCTCCTTGCTCCACCACCTCTCCCCCCGCCCCCTGGTCCCTCCCCTCCTCCATTATTGTCCCCTGCGACCCGGCGCTGCAGAACAACAACAGAAAACAAAAACATTGCGAAAACTCACGACCAGAGCCCTGGACCCGTTCTTTCTGCCGCCGTATTCGAGCCGGCTCGATCTGTGATGGCCCCTGGTGCGAAAACGCCCGGTGTGTAAGAAATCCTTGGGCGTCGCTTCATGGGGGGGCGATCAATGGGGGGAGGCGGAGAAGCGTGCACCCTGCGAGCTCCACAGGCCCCCTTTTGGGCCCCAGGAGACTCCTCTCATGGCTCTAACGAGCAAGTTTTCTGAAGCCCCCGCTACCCCCCATTCCCAGACCCCCGGCTTCAATCATGACGTCGACCCCCAGAGGTCTCGACACATTCCCCAGGACCGGCTTTTCACCCTGAGTGATTTGTTGACGGCCCCGACGTCAGGTCAGGGCCCCCACGGGCCAAAAATAGCGAAGAATTGTCCGTCATGATTTTTCTATTGCCCGAGGGGGTCTGGGGCTTGTCGCCGCCCATTACGCGACGCCCAAAAAGACCTGCAGCGCCCAGGTCTACGGGTCCATCGCTGCCCCCTCCCGTCCTCGCCCTGCTCGATCGGGGCGTCCAGGAGAAGGGAGGGGTCGCAGGTCATGGCCCGAGGCACGTGCGCGGCCCAATGGGGGGGGGGGGAAGCCAGGGGACGCACTGAAATTGGGGCGCCCCAAATGAGCGCGGCAAAAAAAGGTACACTGCCCAACAACGAATGTTGTCCAAAGCCGAGAGCGGCCGCTGTTGGACAGGCGGCTGTCTTCAAAGAATGATGCTCGCGACGGCGCGAACGGGGGGTCCTGTTCAGATTGAACAGGACCTGCTGTTGGGCATCGTGTGCCCGTTCTTTCCGTACCCATCTCGATCGCCCCGGTGACATAAGGAGAAGCGCCGTGAAATCTCAAGAGACATCATGGCCCCGACTGTGACATCCCCCCCTAGTCATCAGCCCCTTGTGGGCCGCCCCCGAGACCTCCTCCACGTCTGGCCAGCACCCACCCTTAGGTCGGGCATGAACCCCTACAGGCGGATTTTGGACGAAAACTTAATTCATGCACCGAACATATTCAAACAATACCTAATATATTATTCCAAAAAGAAAAAGTCCCCAGACTATTCTTTAAAAACTATTTTGAATATTCCTCCTGTAGAGGGACAGGCCCGACCTAAACCCACCCCGACGCGGCGCGCTCGCCTTGCGCTCGAGGAGGTCCGCCGCCCGCCGAGTCTGGCAGACGTGCAGCGTGACCCCGAGGCTGAAGAAGGACGTGCAGAAGCTGATGGTTCCGCTCACCTTCGGCGACGGGCTTGACGCTCGAGGCTCAGCTGCCCCGATACGCAGCACGCAACACGCAGCGTATTGATACGGAGCTCGACACGCAGGCTGAGCACGTACGCTTTGAACGCGGACGTTCTTTGAACACGGCAAGGGTTGCTATTCAAAACGTGCGCATCAGAGCAGCTAAGGTTCGAGGTTTTCTGGCGTTTTCGCCAGCTCTCGTCGGCTTTTCCAGCACCGGGGTTCTCCATCAACGGCGCCTCGCCGAGGGCGTTCCGGAGGTGCCCGGATCGTCCCGAACGGCCGCCAGAGAGCGGAGGTGTGCCCCGAAAGCGAAGGGGCCGCTTGAGAATGGGCACCAACACCAACACACGGGGCTGCCTCCACCAGGGCAATCGGATCCTAGATACCCATCGGTCGGAAGAAGTAGGTGGAAACATGAAGTAGGAAGGCGTTGGAAATAGATTGGGTTTCCGCCCGCCTCCTGAAGAGGAGGGAAGAGGGAAAAGCACTCGACTCTTGAAGTGGGAGGGCGCTGAAAGTAGATTGGAATCTGGGAATCCAAAAATACCTACTTTCAACGACCGATGGGTATCGGTGTACGTAGTCTTCTGGCCACCTAGGAAGCCCGAGTATTACCACCATCGCCGAGACCGGGATCATCTCCCCTCGGCGTGTCAACCTCTGGGCCTCCGACAGTGGGCGCAAATCTCCGTCGACATGATTTGTTTCGCTTCGGGCGTTGCTTCCTCGATTTCGGCCTTGGGGGGAGTAGAGAGTATTGTGCTTAGGACGGTAGGCATGTTGTCACAGAAACCAGGAACAACAATTCCTGTCGAGACGCGTTTTCCTGGAACCCAATTCCTATCGATACGCGTGCTTGAACTGCACTGTACTGTAACATTATGGCTCCAATTGCGGGCAGTAAAAGATATTCATCTTTATTACCATTAATTCATATGTTTTTCGTTTAACGAACATCAGTTTCCCGATTGATTGGGCAGGCGGTGCCGCCAACCCTCCGACGCTTTTGACGCTTTTGACGCTTCCGACGCTTCCGACGCTCCTGACGCTCCTGGCGCTCGGGGCTCCAGGAGCCTCGCGACGCTTCTGACGCTTCTGACGCTCCTGGCGCTCTGGGCCCCAGGAGCTTCGACGCTCCTGACGCTCCTGACGCTTCGCCCAGGGAAGCCCCTGGAGGCCCCACACCAGGCGAAAGCGTCCGTCCAGGGAGGCCCCCGGAGGCCCTACACCAGGCGAACACGTCCGTCCTGCACCATGCGAAAACGTCCGTCCAGGGAGGCCCCCGGAGGCCCCACACCAGGCGAAGACGTCCGTCCTACACCAGGCAAAAACGCCCGTCCAGGGAAGCCACAAGCGAAAACGTCCGTCCAGGGAAGACCCCCCGGAGGCCCCACACCAGGCGAGAACGTCCGTCGAGGGGGAAGCCACCCCGGAGGCCCTCCGCGAGCGCAGGGCCACGGAGTAGAAGACGGCTCCTTTTATAGCCCTTGCGGCAAAGCGGCCACAAAACAGTCGCAAGAGCCATAACACCTCCTCCTCCTGCTGCTCCTCCTGCTCCTCCTCCTCCTCCTCCACCTCCTCCTCCTCCTCCTGCTCCTCCTCTTCGTCCTCGTCCTCCTCCTCCTCCTCCTCCTCCTCCTCCTCGTCCTCCTCCTCTTCCTCCCTCCTCACTCCTCCTTCCTCCCTCCTCCTCGTCCTCCTCCTCCTCCTTCTCCTTCTCTTCCTCCTCCTCCTCCTCCTCCTCCTCCGCCCTCCTCCTCCTCCTCTCCTTCTTGTTTCAGAAAATTGTCCCCGACCCGTGGCGGAACTGCTGGACGGAGTTGGTTCCTCCGTCGGAAAATGGCCATGGACACCAACACTTCAAGTACTTGGGCGGCGTCTACATGCGAGCATTGGCGCGATACTGGAATGCCTCGCGCGAGATCAGATCTTAGAGACAACAGGACGGCGACAGACAGCAACGGCGGAATTAATGCGAGCGTCATGCAGGCTGGAATGTAAACGCGAGATAGCACAAAATGCCACCCCGTGCAACATAATACACGTCTCGTTTGAATATTGCCACGGTGCCACACAGATGCTGATGGTGATGGTGGTAACTGTGTCACAAGTGCGAAGCTTGGTAATTCCAAATGACACGACGAGGTTGTGGATGCCACGACAATGGACACCCGAACAGTCCTACCATTGAACTTAAGCTGTGCTTAGAATGTCGGCAACATGTCCTAAGCACGCTTAGGACATGATACTTACATGGTTAAAACATGTTTAACACATATTCTAGACACCTGGAAATCATTTGACAACATGTACCCGCTCCATTGGTCGTCCTCCGCAACGACGAAGATGCGTCATGCTTGGCACGGCGACACGAGTTCCTAGACCGTAAAAACTATCCAGGCAAGGGATCCAACCATATGCAGTTGTGAGTACCGTAAGTGCGAGTATCTTCTTCGGTGGTGCCCACGAACCGTATGAGGGGCGTGCCGAAATGTGGCGGGGCACACAACACGAAGGGAAACGATGGGTCGACTTACGAGAAACTGAGCGCGGGCGAATCTGAGCGCGAGTGAGTCTAAGTGTGAATGAGTCTGCGTGCGAGCGAATAAATGAGTCTGCGTGCGAGCGAATATACTTGCACGAATGCGACCCTGGCTACGCCTCGTATAAATGTATATGAATGTGAATGGTTCGAATACGCCTGTCTGTGCACTCGTGACACTGAGCGCGGCCGCCGCAGAAAGCTTCCGCGGGAACCCCGGCGGCAGCGCGCCCGCGTGCCGCGACGCCCATGTCGGCACGCCCCTCGCGAGGATCGCGCCCGCTTCCTTCCCTTCTCTCCCTCCCTCTTTGCCCGCGCATTCCAAAGTCCAAGACTGCGGGCGCGGCGCGGCGCGAGTCCCCGCGACGCGCGCCGGTCGCCCCGGAAGGGCCCCAGCGACGCGCGCGGGTCGTCCGCTGCGCGGAACAATGCGAGCTAGTTAGCTAGCTGGCTGGCTGATAGCGGGCAAGGCTCTGGCCGCTCGGCAGAGCGACGACGGGCGAGCGAAGCGCAGGGAAGAACGCAGCGCGGAAATCCCGCGACGCGCGCGGGTCGCCCCGGGAGGGTCCAAGCGACGCGCGCGGGTCGTCCGCGGCGCGAGGCCAAAAAATTAATTGGGCAGTCGAGAGAAGGCGCTGCTCGGGGGGGGGCGCTCCTCGCGGATAAACTCGGTGAAGCCGAGCTCCCTGGCGAGGGCCGTCGCCTCCCTCCTGCGCCGCTTCGCGCGCGCCGCAAACTGCCCCAGCTGCTTCCGCAAGCCCTCCGGCGGCCCTGCCAGGAAGCCAGGGAGAACTCGATGCGCGGCGCCCGCATGAGCAGGAGGTCTTCGCGGCGCGTGGCGCGCGACATAGAGCTCCAGCCGCCAGTCGTCGCCCTCCTTCTTGCCGTTCCCGACCTCGCGGCGGCCGCAGTCCAGGATCACGCCCGGGCAACGTCGGCCGAGGGGGCAGCGCGCCGGACAGCCGACGGCCCAAGGCCAGAGTCCACAGGGCCGAGAGATGGTCCGGCTGCAGACCGCCCGCGCCCGGTAGGTTCGGCTGCAGACTGCCCAGGGGCGCCGTTCACTCGCCCCGTCGCCTTCTTGCAAGGCGCGCCCCTGGCACGCCGCCGCGGCGATAACCCTGCCGCGCGAGAACGGGAAGATCGCCCGGGTGACCTTGGAGGTGCGGAAGGTGAACGGCTCCGACGCGCGGGGCTCGATGAACACCAGCGGGCCCGCGAGGTCCCCCGCGAGGCTGTCGTCGCGACGCCTCAGGTCGTCCACGAAGGGCGCGCTCGCGTACTTCTCCATGCGCACCCAGAGACCCAGCGGCAAGCGCTTCAGATAGATCTTGTTCTCCCCGTCTCCCTCGGCATTCTGGACGTCGTGCCGATCCCGAGGGTCCACGACGATGTGCACGATCTGCCGCTCGGCATCCTTGACGAGGCCGTTCTTGAGGTCGAACGCCTCCAGGAGCCGGATCCGCATGCCCGCGTGCACCAGGAGGAGTCCGTGCATGCCACCGGTGTTCTTCGGCTGGCACAGTTCATATTGGCGGCGTCCTTGACGTTCATCGTCGGGGCAGACTTGTCGGCGGCCCGCGCGAGGAAGAGGGGCTTCTTCAGGACGCCCGCGTTTTGCTGGGCACGCATGTTCATCCACCGCGCCACGAGTAGAACCCGATCATATGGCCGTTCTGGAACCTCTCCTCCCAGAGCCGACGATCATCGGGTTTCAGCTGCATGGCGTTCCACGTGGCCCGGATGGCCGGAGGGACCTGCCTCCCCGGTTTGCGCAGGAAGGCCATGAGATCCCTGAGCTTCGGGTCCTTGAAGCGGTTGGACGCCTGGAGCTCGAAGCACAGCGGCGTGTTGCAGAAGAGCTTCATCACGGCCTGGCACTCTGGAGCGAGGTTGATGCCCGCCGCCGCTAATTTCTGGAAGCTGGAGATGAGGGACACTTTGCCTCCAGTCGGCTTCAGCTGCAGGAAGTCCCCCAGGTGGATCACGATGGGCATCCGGCCGACATTCGTGTGTGGGGGACGCATGCGGGCGGTGGCACTTGGGCCTTCGGTGGAGCTCTCTATGGGGCCACGAAACGTGTGACGGGTGTGCCGAAATGTGTGTGTGTGTGTTTTTGTGTGTGTGTGTGTGCGTGTGTGTGTGTGTGTGCGTGCGTGCGTGCGTGCGTGCGTGCGTGCGTGCGTGCGTGCGTGCGTGCGTGCGTGCGTGCGTGCGTGCGTGCGTGCGTGCGTGCGTGCGTGCGTGCGTGCGTGCGTGCGTGCGTGCGTGCGTGCGTGCGTGCGTGCGTGCGTCTGTCTGTCTGTCTGTCTGTCTGTCTGTCTGTCTGTCTGTCTGTCTGTCTGTCTGTCTGTCTGTCTGTCTGTGTCTGTCTGTCTGTCTGTCTGTCTGTCTGTCTGTCTGTCTGTCTGTCTGTCTGTCTGTCTGTCTGTCTGTCTGTCTGTCTGTCTG